GCCGAGACCAGAGGCAGCGAGGAGGCGCGGCAGGAGGAGCGGCGCTGCCTAATGGCACATGTGAGCATTTCTCTGATCTCACATCAGTTTAGAGATTGAGGCGGTAAAACAAACGCACCCGAGCCCGGCACGCTGCTGAAGACGATGAAGCCGAGCGTGCTAGTGAAAGGCTCCGCCTGCTTCAGCATCATCGATTCAGATCAGACGAGGCTCATGGTTAGGACAGGTGAACCTGGTAGAAGCTCTCACCTGTACAGACGTCTCCATCAGCTGGTTGGAAGTTAGCGCTCCACAGCTTCCAGAGTGTGAATGTGCTGATCGATGCAGCTGATTGGTGCTTCTCGTGTCAGATGGGGAGTCGGAGCAGATCGACTTCATCGACAGCTGTGCGGGTGAGGAGGAGGAGGAGGAGGGGAGGAGTCGTGGGGGAGGAGACAGGACCAGCCTGAGCTCTCAGTTCATGGCTTACATCGAGAGACGCATCACCAGAGAGGTGAGAGCTCCGCCCACAGGAAGTCACACCTGCGACTCACATGCACCCCACCATTGCTTGTCGTCTTTTAACTACAGTCTTTACAGTAAGCCTTTTTACACAGACTTCTGAAAGGTCAAAGGTCGAGTCTGTCGGTGGTTTGAGGTATAAACTGATAATTACATGTGGTGTAAAATCTTATTGTGAAAACCCTGTGTGACTTCCTGTCTCTGTGCTCAGGGTTCTCCTGTGAAAAGCGGCTCTTCGAGGATGGAAGACCTGAGGAGACACAGCAGGTACGCTCCTCGTTCACCTTTATCACACCTGCTCGTTTCACTTCCTGTCTCGCTTCCTGTCTCGCTTACTGTGTCAACTCCCGTCTCTCAGGGGTGTAGTCGATAGCGCCGCGGCCGCATCCGGCTCACACGGACAGGTAAGGCGTCCTCTTACCTGTGAGGTGGAAGCTGAGCACAGCTGCAGCAGCACTGACGGTCTGTGTCCTCAGAGAGGCGGCGTGGAGAGGATGAGGAGGGAGGCGCAGCTCGCCGCCATGAGGTACGACGAGGAGCGGCAGAAGAACCGCTCGCTGCAGAGGGACAACATGAGCGGACACGCCAAGGTACGAACGGCACCAGTTTAACTGGTGACGGCACGTTATTGATCGCTGATCAGCTGTTATTGATCGCTGATCAGCTGTTATTGATCGAAACTCTGTTGATGCTTTTCAGCATAAAGCAGCTCCGAGTCCCACGAAGTCCAGTCCTGACACAGAGGTGAGTTTGTGTGTGTGTGTGTGTCTGTGTGTGTGAGTGTGGGCGAGTGTGGGCGCGATTAGTTGGTCGGTTTTTATCGGCACATGCGTTCACTTTCAAACGTCTAACAAAGATAAATGAAGACGTGGAGGTCAAGGGTCATCCTGTCGGGGTCAGGTCTGTCTCCTAAGTTAACCCCGCCTCCACAGCCCATGGTGACCCAGGGCGACTCCCTCACTCGCTGATCTGTCCCATCTGACCGGTGCTGAGAGTTTCAAACTGTGGAGCCAAGCACGCATGACCTCTGACCTCTGACCTCTGACATGGGAGCAATGTGGAAAATCGCTTTTGTTCCAAATATCTGAGAGAAAACGTAAAGCTGCACGAGTCAGACAGCAGGTAACGACCTTCTAATAACGATGGTTATTAGAAGGTTATGAGTCTAGCCCCGCCCCTGTTTAAACCACACCCCTCATTCGCCACGCTCTCACCTG